TAATGGTTCTTCATCTCTGCCACTGAGAACAGCATGTATCACACACACACACACACACACGCATGCTTGAAAATAAGGCTTGCTGTCAGGCATGATGCACAACCATCGCCTCGAGAGAGCGATACAACTGCCTGCCTCTAAACAGATGAGCTGACGGAGGAGAGATGGATGAGGGGATGGTGAAATGGGAAAGAGGGGAGGGGAAATGTTAATATCTCAAAGTATTTCATCAATAGTTGGAAAAGAGAGATGAATCTCCCCCCAGTAACATGTTTGTGCTGTGAGCAAGCATGTCAAATTTAAATCTCATAATGTACATTATAATTTAAAGCCCAGCACACCTACACAGGTGTTTCTACTCATTCTGGCTGATCACACTCCTCTCAGAATGAAGAGGATACAGTGTAGATTTTTTCACACAAGACATGTTGACATGTCACTGAAGGAAAAGCCCTGGTGTAATCAATGTGATAAATGATGGCTGAATTTTATTTAGCTGCTTCAGTTTCAAGGTCCTGGTGTTGTGCATGTTGACTAACTGTCACATTGTCATGACTTACTGGGACACTTGATGGAACCATCATTGATTGTTTTGTAATGTACAATAGTTTTTAATGCACATTTTTTTAATGTACAACAGTTTATGGCATTGCAATAAAACCATACATCCTGAAACAGCCCTTGGCTGGCCTAGGCTTGAGCGGTATTATAGTGTATCAGGGTATTTAGAAATCCTTACAGTATAATTTTCAATACCTTAAAAAATACAGATACTTATGCCTTAACACAGATGCTGTATTAAGGTGGTGTAGTGCACAGTATGTGCCACCAGAGGTCAGTCTCTGCTGGTGGAACAGGCAACTGAGCTGAGGAAGGTCACTGCGAGTGATGGGGATAACATTACAGGACCAATAAAAAGCCGACTGGCAGCTGTAGAGAGAGACAGTAAAATACAGGAGCTTTAAGGGGCTTTAATGTGTTTTTGTTTTGTTTTGTTTTTTAAATAAGTATCATCATATACCTGTCATACCCTGTTGAAATGTCAGGAAGTTATGAAGGTTTAAAAAATAGACAGACAAACAACAAGAATGACATTAGTTTTTGATAATTATTATTTATAATAATGATTATTTCTTAATGTTATTAGTAAGACCTGTACTATATGACAAGTTAAAATGACTGCTGTGAAAAAGGGCTATTAGGTAGGTCAGCAAACTTATGAGCCAATAAGAATGAGAGCTTTCCCAGCCTGACAGGTGCAACAAAACTTACTAAAGCCAGGGAGATTAAGAGGCTGTGTAGTTTGGCAGCGCTGGCACGTCAGTTAGTTTATGTTTTTACAGTGCTGTGGATAACATTGTGTTGTATTTACGTAGTGTCGCTGATTCAGGTCAGCATAAGCAGCATGTGCCGAATTCTGTGCTGAATTGAAACCACACCCAACCAGCACAAACCAGCACTGTTCCGGTCAGATTTGGAGCCCACCTACTGAAAGCACAGTCTGTACACACCCACACAGTGCTCAGAGGAGCTTTAATCAGCTTCAACAAGTGAAAACACCTGTGTGGATGGACAGTGGCTGTGGAGGGCCTTTAAAGGTCACAGCTAAAATTTTTATTGTTTAATGCTGTACAAAAAAAGGCAGGACAAGTGTCCCGCATGGATTTGCTTTAAAAACATGATTGTGTTGTTTTCCATGAAGCTTCTTCTAAATGCAGAAAATGTCCGGTGCTACAGTGGACAGTATGACACTGGCTGCATGTGCATCCTTGATTGCATGTATACTGGAGATGTGTCTGAAGTAACTCCCTTGTTCACTCATTCACTCCTCCCTATATAATAGATAGTGGGCAGTAAATTGAGATGGACACTTATAATCATTATCATTTTTAATATCAATATATTGCCTGAGATACGCTGCATTGTGGGATTGTTATAATCATACATGCCATAAACATGTTTTTACAGCACTATGTAGAGCATACATATTAGATATAGAATAGGGACACTCAAATAATACTGTGGTTAGTAAATGTGCACTACAGTGAACAGGGATTGATTTTGGGCACAGCCTGGGACATTAATGAATTGTCAGGGTGCCATGACCTTTGACCTTCCTGATATTGGACATTTAGAGATTTTTTTTTTTTTATCATGTATCAAATGAGGAGGTGATGTGAGGTAATTCCACAACCCCTCAGCCTTATTTGACTCGCTGTGTGTATGTGTGTGACTTTGTGTTAATTGTGTGTGTGCTGTAAGTGTTTGTCTTTGATGTGTGTGAGCATGTCGGTGTGTGACCTTGTATGTGTATCCTTGGGTTTTTCATGCTTGTCTTAGTGCGTCTGTGTGTGCAGGTGTGTGTGTGTGCTTGCTTTTAATATATTTTTATCTGTGTGCGTGTGGATGTGGTCCTGCCCTCGCATCTGTATGTGTGTGCTTGTGTGTACGTGTGTGTCCATGTGTTCTTGTGTGGGTGCTCCTGTCTGATTGCCATGGTCTCCTTACGCAAACGCTTATGCAACCATGCAGCATGGTGGCTGATCTCCCTTTTGCCATGTGTGTGTGTGCGTGTGTGTGTGTGTGTGTGTGTGTGTGTGTGTGTGTGTGTGTGTTTAGTCCTTTCTTGTCATTCCCAGACATGACTGCCTCTGAAACTGAACAAGTGGCTGCCCTCTTTGAAGAGAGAGAGGATTAGCAATTAATTCTGATCTCTTTTTTTTCAGCAACTTCATTAGAGTTAAACTTCCACAGGCTCTAATCTGATCCGTCGCCGTGACGACGCCCCTCAGATACGCCGTGCAACAGTGTGTGCGCATGCACGTGTTTGCCTTTCTGCATTCTTGTGTGTCTGTGGTGTTCTATGTGCACAGTTGTTGCCACTAGTGTATATTAGTGCTCATGTGCGGATACCTGTGTGTGTGTGTGTGTGTGTGTGTGTGTGTGTGTGTGTGTGTGTGTCCGTCCATTATGCTTAAAATATAAACATGCTTTATAAAGACAAGACTACAAGCTTGATGTGGTACTACACAGGGTTGGATACGAACTATTTTGTCACCCTTCCACTGTGGCTAGTGGATTCCAAAATCCACTAGCCACTCAATAGATTACTAATGGTATTTTTTGGCTGCTGAGTGAAGCAAATCTAGCAGCCATTTGCATATGTGACCAGAATTTGGCTGGTGGCTGGTGCTAATTTCTAACCCTGGTACTACAACTTTTACTTCTACTACTACTACTATTATTACTAGCAATATTGGAATAACTGAGACCATTAATACAATTTGAATAACATATAAAGTAGATGATATAGTGAGGTGCAGAAAGATGTTATCCTCCAGCAGGGGGAGCTATGTGTCTGTGTCAGATGATGAGCCAGTTCCCATCTCTTCACACTGTATGTACACCTTAACAAGTCATTTCATGTGGTCTGGAGTCATAAAAGAATCTGCCAGAGGGGAGAAAATACAGATGAGCCTCTTTAAGTGTTTTCTTTTCTTTCTTTCTTCCTTTTTTTTTTTTTTTTTTTTTTTTTTTAACCAGCACTGATGGGTTTCATTCCTTCTGCTCGCACAGAGCGGCACTGCAAGTATGTCAGGATGTTTTACCAACCTTGGCAGAAGCTTCGACTTCTTTCACCTTGTTTTGTTTTCCTCCAGAATGGTTGATAATTTCTCTCGTGAAGACACTGCAAAACAACTGTTTGATCAAAAAATCACTATCCAAATTGTGCTGCTGCGATGATAATGACATTAATTCATCTCTGAATCCAATCAGCATGTTTTAAGATTTGCATTTCTGCAAGATTTTTTAGCATCTGCACTGGAATTATGTGAAATATTTCATCTTTATGGCATACAGAGACAAGAATCACACACACACACCTGCACAATTAAGTTCTCTTTCATGGTCCATCATTTACTTGAAGGAACACCTCACCCCCCAAATGATTATTTGTATATCAGTTACTCACCCCGTGTTAGGTTGACTTTGCAAAGAGAACTGTTTTTCCTGCAAGCCTCCACTTTGAACGAGGAATCCAAAAACAGAGAAAATTCTTAATGAACTGATAGGAGTGTGTGTTTAACAACGGCAAAATTATATCAAAATATCTGTTAAACTCACACAACTCATTCAGTCTCATTTATTTAGTCATATACTCAGCACTTCTCAAACAGACAGCTCTTTTTGACAGACATCTGCACTAAAAGTGAAACTTATCTATGCTCCATTGACAAAAAGAGTAATTTTACCTCTCTGAACACAGGAGCTGCTGGTCTACCACTGCCTTAATCTGTACTTTATGTCATTGTGTGATTTTTTTTTAAGGAGTCAGTTTGGATTCACCAAAATCACATAATGACACTAACAAACTAAGTCACTGAGGCAGTGAGCATGAGAGAGATATTAAAAGGATGTCTTGATATAGTTTTACTGTTGTTAAAAGCTCCCTCTACTTCCAGTTTTGGATTTATCACTCACTGTGGAGGCCTGCGAGAAAAACAGTTTGCTTCACAAATTCACCATAACACTGGATGAGTAATCAGGGGGGTTAAGTGTTCCTTTAAAGCTGTTCTATCTAAAAAAAACAGATTCATATTGATCAAGGGATAACCAAGGAATAGTCATGGATTCTGGGAACTGTGTACAAAGAGAGGACGGATACTTTCCAGGAATAACAGCAAACGCATTTTCCAACTTTCATTCCACTTTGAAAAATAAGATAAACATGTTACAAGCTATGGTAAACACTGCAGGCTATATGAGTGTTTTGTGTGTATGAGTGTGTGTATGTCATAGCACATGGCTCACAGCTTCCACACACTCTTGGCTGGAAACATCTACAGCTCATAAATTACCAGAAATCTTGACCGAGCAACCCCCCCAAGCCTTTTACTGGTTACTGCCGTGTGTGCGTGTGCCTGGCAGAGTGTGTGCATGCATGCTAATATTTTCAGTAAACATACACTGATATACACACACTTCTTCCTATTCTGCAGGGTGTCCGGCGGTGAGTTATTTGACCGAATCGTGGAAAAAGGTTTCTACACAGAGAAGGATGCGAGTACGTTGATCCGACAAGTCCTGGATGCTGTAAACTACCTGCACAAGATGGGAATTGTACACCGAGACCTCAAGGTACTTTAACACACACACTCTCACACGTTTGTTCTCACTTGACAGGTAGTGATTTAC